AGCAAAAGTCACTGCGAGAGCGGACAGGAAGTATATAGTGCAGTGGAACATGGAAATGAGTGAGCGCACACTGACTGACAGGGTGCAAAGGTTATCTTTAGTTAAACATGCAGGATGTCTTTTCACCTGCGGTATAGCGTAGATGCACACACACACAAGCACACACGTGATAGATTGAGGGTGTAATGTTTGTTTTTTTACCAGACCACACCTTCAGTGGGGATGTTTCTTCCCTTACATGCCTTGGGGGAGCGTGGTCTGCCAAGTCTCTCCTTATTTACTGAACAGCTCCTTTTTTGGTGCTGCGTCAAACTCTGCTGTACACTGATACTGTAGCCTAGTGGGAGGCAAACCAGTAGCTTTCCTTCAGTGTGTAAAGCTGACCTCCAATTTGAATGATTTCATTCTGAAAGACAGTGATAAACAGCAGTCATGCTAGTGTTGCAAATATCATGTATCTTTAGTGGGGGTCCCTGTGCTTTGATAGACAAGTGTCTGACTAGTTAGACAATATGGGGAGGACTGTGTACTGTTGAATCATTCAGGCTTTGTTTGACAATGAATGAAAAGTCTGATAACATGTTACATTTGGCCATTCAGCTGTACGGTATCTTGTTACTAATTCCAAGTATTAAAAGTATGAACAAAATGAATAGCAGCATCAGCTAGCATCAGTCTAGACAACAACAAGACACATTTATTTTTACATTCAAAGCATTTCTTCCATGAAACAGTTTAGCTTCTGTACTACTGGACATGACGAATCCTTTAATACAACAGGACTGAGAATCCCCTCGAACACACAAAGTAAGAAGCAAGCTCCGTAAACTGTAATCATCATGACAGCAGAACATGATCATGATATAAGAGTGTTATATCAGGATTTATGGCAGAGAAAGAAACATCAGGTGGAAAAAAAACCGGAACATCTCCATTTGCTGTAGCTTAAAAGCTGTTGATTATTGGGTGACAACTACATTCATTTGGTGGCGATTCCTAACAATTTGAACTGTTTCAGAGGGAGTGCTATACCATTTGCATGATAATTAATATTCACTGACAATACCCTGCCACAATTACAGTATATTCAGTTAGTTCAATCACAAACCCAATAGTCCTCCAGTCATGCTGATAATATTCTTACTCTCTCACTTCCCTTTTCCCTCTCTCTCCACATCCCTCTCTCCCCCCTTCCAGAAACAGAGAAAAAGGGGAAAAGATGGAGAGAAAAACTCTCACCCCCCCCTCGACAGAGAGACAAAAGGAGGCAACACCTCCCCGTCTCCCCCCTCTTCCCCATCCTCCTTCCCCCCTCTCTACCCCCTCTCTCCACCCCCTTCTCCCACCTCCCTCTCACCCCCTCTCATCCCTCTCTCGCCATCTCCCGCTCTCCCCCCTTCTCTCCACCCCCCTCCCTCCCCCCCTTCTCTCCACCTCCCCCTCTCCCCCCTTCTCTCCATCTCCCGCTCTCCCCCCTATTCTCTCCACCTCCCTCTCTCCCCTACTCTCTCTCATCCTGATATGGCTTTGTGCTGGCCATTGTCAGTGCGTTGTCGTAGCGTAGCATACCTCATCAGACAGAGAGAGAGTGCAGAGAGCCTGGGACATGAGGCAACACCCGGCCAATCCGCCTGAAGATGAGCTCATATGTTTACAGTATGTGGTCCCACCAGCGCCAACGCAGACTAACTGCACCTCTTATAGTTCAATAATAACTACACCTAGTTTAAACTTAAAGGGCCACTTTAGCTTTTGACTGTAGAATGAAACATTTATGTTTTCACATATGTAGGCTAACAGTGATTTGGTGCTGGAGACAATGAACGTGACGTCAAAAAGTGCTCCTTTCATATAAACGCTGCTGGAAGATGCTTTTTGGCCAGGGGAGCACTGATGAGTCTGACCCCCTGACTGTTAGAGGAGGGTGATGTGGGCTTTGTCACACTAAAAGCCAGCGACTCAGCAGGCCACTCACTGTGGGTCTCAGCGCTGTGACAATGGGCAGTTTGGTGACAGGTTCTTTCGGCACCTTTCTTTAGTACTGTAAAGCGTCAACTTCACTTTTCCTTGCTGTGGTCTCAAGGCCCACCGACTGAGCCGCCGCTCACAAACGGTAGCATTTTCGTTCCGTGGAGGTTGTCACAGACTGTTACAAGTTGGGTTGCAAGGTCATTTCAGGGACACACTGAGAAAAAGAGTGTAGAATGACAATCTGGCATTTTGAAAGGTTAGGATATTCCATAGTTGGATAATTCAACAGACCTCTACCTCAACATCAACTGACAAGTAATAATATACCCTCACACTGCTTGAATGTTTCAACATCTAACTGATGCCAATTCAAGCAGCACCTAGATGCTGTATTTCTGACCTAACCCGTGTCACTCTTGCTACACGGGAATGCCACTGTCTGTGCGTGTGAGGGCCTGCGTGTCACAGGGGGCAGTCCTGCAAGCTCTGTGCTGTGTGTTTATGTTCCAGCATGGTGAGATCTCCTGCCTTTCACAGAAAAAAGGCCCCTGGAATGCCCTGAATGATGGGACTGGGGCCTTCCGCAGAAGCACTCGGATTGGACTGTTTTTCCCCGGCCATCCCTATAAGGCTCTGGCTGAGTGAGGCAGACAGGGAGAGTGCGGCCCCGGCTCCATGTTTGGGATGTGGGAGGGGTAAGTGCAGGATGGGGGCTGGGAGCTACATAAAGTCTCCCCAGGCCGGTGAGGGGGCACACCATCCCTGAGCGGCAAACCCCGGCCAAGCACTGTCAGGGTAAGTGGACCACCACCTCACCTCTCCTGTCCTCCTCTCTCCTCCCTACTCCTCTCACCCCTCTCCTGTCCTCTCTTCTCCCTACTCCTCTCACCCCCTCTCCTGTCCTCCTGTCTCCTCCCTGCTCCTCTCCTACATGCTTAGAAAAAAGGTTCGAAAAGGAGAACCCTTTTTGGTTCCAGATATAATTATTTTGGGTTCTATGTAGAACCCTCTGTGGAAAGGGTTCTACATGGAATTCAAAAGAGTTCTACCTTGAACCAAAAGGGTTCTACCTGGAACCAAAAAGGGTTCTTCAAAGGGTTCTCCTATGGGGACAGCTGAGGAGCCCTTTCAGGTTCTAGATAGTACCTTTTTTCCTAAGTGTACCGTCTCCTCTCCTCTCCTCTCCTCTCCTCTCCTCTCCTCTCCTCTCCTCTCCTCTCCTCTCCTCTCCTCTCCTCTCCTCTCATCTGCTCTTCTCTTCTCTCCTCTCCTTTGCTCTCCACTTCTCTCCTCTCCTCTTCTCTCCTCCTCTCCTGCCTTCCTGTCTGCCCGACTGCCTCAAGTCAACATCTGCTAAATTGTTAGCTACTAATCTGCTAGTCTGAGTCAACTGCAGGGGTCAGCACCTTACAGCGCAGACTGCTTCTCAATTTAAACCAGGCTACATTAGCCTTGACGAGCTTTGGCTAATCTCACAGGTGCATGTTCATGAAAGACAGGTGTTTAGACGTCTCACAGCTAAGTCACTGTGGTTTGTTGTGGGTATTAAGTGTCACAGCTCTTGGATGAGATCCTAAGCCTCATGGTGTTGTGGTCCATTAAGAACTTGTGGTTGAAGAAGTTAGTGTTGCTGCTAATGCTGTAGCTTGTTTGAAACAGTGTGGTAAAATGTCCGTAGAAAATGCTAGAACTGTCTTGTTGAAATTCTGGTATATGCTAAGCTACCTATTACCTATTATGTATAGATTTTTCAGCTGGTTGATTATGATATTAGACATCTGGCGCCATCAGTGCCATAATGCAAAACATAATGCTTTAAAAACATAGTAGTCTCAAAGTTTTGTAAAGTCTCTTGGGGAAAGTCATGTTGATAGGTTGTAAAGTCTCTTGGGAACTCAGTCAGTTTGGAAAGTTTGGACGTTTTTTTGAAAACACTGTCCACAGTTTTGAAATGAGTAAAGGGGATGATGGCTGGCTATATACAGGGGCCTCTGTTATGTTGTTTGAGAGTTCAGCACTGGCCAACTTTCAGCAGTGAACTCCATCATAGCTGCTCATGGTACCCTCTGCTGGAAAGCTTAGGAAATAGTTTATTCTGAAGGTTTATGACTAAATATGGTTCTGCTGGAATCTGCTTCTCTCTCTCTCTCTCTCTCTCTCTCTCTCTCTCTCTCTCTCTCTCTCTCTCTCTCTCTCTCTCTCTCTCTCTCTCTCCCCCTCCCTCCTCCTCCTCCTCTTCTTTTTTTGTAAACGGTTGTAGACAGGCAGGGCCAGAGAGAGAGGGAGTGAGGGAGAGAGGTTTGCACAGTCCAGTCCAAAGACAGACATGACTTCGCATCATTTCCTAATTAGGAAGTTTTCCCAGGGTGCTGCATTCATTCATTAGAGACTGGAGTTCAACCCTAACCTTAACTGAAGAGTGTTGTAGCGTACCTCCTATGGGGAGTTGTGGTCTTAAGCAGGATTGCTTTGCTATTAATGTTACATTTTTACAGTATTATAACATTGTATAACAGTGTGCTTTATTGGCTTTTGGTAAAATGTATTTATATTATACTCTAAGCACAGGTCAACTTTCTAAATGGACTTTTCACTTTCAATAGGAATAGCCGCATCCTTTTTTCACATTTTTGGTACGCCAGTGGATTTACCTGAGCCATGTATTCCTGAATGAAATAACGTAAATAATTGGCACACCAAATTTTCATTTTTTATGGTTAACGGTTTTTATGAATTCACCTCAGAAGGGGGGGCACACACTACTTTAGAGGGATAGACCTACACACACACACACACACACACACACACACACACACACACACACACACACACACACACACACACACACACACACACACACACACACACACACACACACACACACACACACACACACACACACACACACACACACACACACACACACACACCAACCTACCACTCTGTAGATGTTAACACACTCTTCTCTCTGGTGCCCCTGCAGTGATTGTCTCCAGTCGGAGTAAGGAAGGTAAAGCAAAGAATTGACAATGTGTGACGACGAAGAGAGCACTGCCCTTGTGTGTGACAATGGGTCCGGTCTCTGCAAGGCAGGCTTCGCCGGGGACGACGCCCCCAGAGCAGTATTCCCCTCCATCGTGGGCCGTCCCAGACATCAGGTGAGCCGCCATTCATCCATTAATAGACAGGCTGGATGTAACCGACTTCTGATTGGGTGATGAGAATGCATCCACTTTTTGTGCATAGTCTTTCATGGTCCTTGGTATATTCTTAATTTTAAAGCATTATTGTTTTATTTTATTTTTCCCAATATGGTTTAAGGCTCAACACAGCAAGGCCTATTTGTTGAATTTCAGTGCTAGCAATGGCATCCACTTTACAGTGTGGTGAGTGTGCTTCTGACCAGCCGGTTCCTCTCCCCAGGGTGTGATGGTGGGTATGGGACAGAAAGACAGTTATGTGGGTGACGAGGCACAGAGCAAAAGAGGTATTCTGACCCTGAAGTACCCCATCGAACACGGCATCATCACAAACTGGGATGACATGGAAAAAGTAAGCCTACCACACCCTACCCCACCTAGCCCACCCTACCACACCCTACCCCACCCCACCCTACCACACCCTACCCCACCCCACCCTACCACACCCTAGCCTACCACACCCTACCCCACCCTACCACACCTGAGACAACAATGACACAGACTCATGATTCAGACGATTTTAAAACAATACAATTGGAAAACAGTGACACACTCTAACATGGAATTTTATGTACTTTGTGATTATCCATCATGGCACCAAAAAAGTAGCCCCTCAGCCAACACAACTCCCCAGGTGGCACTTTGGGATCCATCCAGAGGCATTTAGATCCAGGATCTATTCTCAGAACTATTACATGATAACAGAACGTGGAGTTAGCTAAAGAGGCCCCAGGCATGTTCAGAGATGTTATGCTAATTATTGCCGATGATTGGCAGATCTGGCATCACTCCTTCTACAACGAGCTCCGCGTAGCCCCTGAGGAACACCCCACCCTGCTGACAGAGGCCCCCCTCAATCCCAAAGCCAACAGGGAGAAGATGACCCAGGTGATGATTACATACACTACAGCTGGGACTTGTTCCAATGTATATCTTCAACCCAGCCTTTTAAGACTGTGTAATACACTTGATATAAACAGTAGGAATTTGTTACATGATGCTGAGTGTATGATTGGTGCAATTGGAATGATATGCTCACTGTCAACATGTTAGTGTGAGAAATAACACTGTAACCTAAACAAATGCTCCTGTTCTAGATTATGTTTGAGACCTTCAACGTTCCAGCCATGTATGTAGCTATCCAGGCCGTGCTGTCACTTTATGCCTCTGGCCGCACAACAGGTCAGTATAGGACACCAGTCAAAACCAGCCTCATTTTACACTGACCATTCAGTCCCACTGAGCCCTAACCTTGTATCCTCCCAAAACTGTCCTCCCAAACCTGTGTCCTCCTAAACCTGTGTCCTCCCAATCCTGTGTCCTCCCAATCCTGTGTCCTCCCAAACCTGTGTCCTCCTAAACCTGTGTCCTCCTAAACCTCCACAGGTATTGTCCTTGACTCTGGTGATGGTGTCACCCACAACGTCCCCATCTATGAGGGTTATGCCCTGCCCCACGCCATCATGCGTCTGGACCTGGCTGGCCGTGATCTCACTGACTACCTCATGAAGATCCTGACCGAGCGGGGCTACTCATTCGTCACCACTGGTCAGTAGAAACTCTGGGATGCTATGAACTCTGGGACGCTATTCTCTCGTACTGTACAGTGCATGACTTTTAAGCAGAGGCCTATGCAGATAAAGAAGTGTTTTTCTGCCAAACTACAAATCAATCTAAGTTCTTGTTCTAACCTTCCCCCTATTCTCCTATCTCTAGCTGAGAGAGAAATAGTTCGTGACATCAAGGAGAAGTTGTGCTACGTCGCCCTGGACTTTGAGAATGAGATGGCCACCGCTGCCACCTCCTCCTCTCTGGAGAAGAGCTATGAGCTGCCCGACGGTCAGGTCATCACCATCGGTAACGAGAGGTTCCGCTGCCCCGAGACCCTCTTCCAGCCCTCCTTCATCGGTAATCCCTCGCTCTTTTTCCACTCTCTGCATTTGCCTTTCTCTCAACAGTTTGAAACAAATATCTATTCTCCCGACTGTCTCTTGTGACTCAGTGTGATTTCCTCTGATTTCTCCCCAGGTATGGAGTCTGCCGGTATCCATGAAACCACTTACAACAGCATCATGAAGTGTGACATTGACATCCGTAAGGACCTGTACGCCAACAACGTCCTGTCAGGAGGTACCACCATGTACCCTGGCATCGCAGACAGAATGCAGAAGGAGATCACAGCCCTGGCCCCCAGTACCATGAAGATCAAGGTGTGTAGAAGCTACTAACATAGAGTTAACGTGCATGTCATAATGAGATACTATACAGTGATTTGAATTTGTTCAACATAATAGTCCTCCTAACTGCCATTCACAGCCAGTAATGATATTGGCCCATTTCAACGTTGACGCAATTATCCTTTCTAGTTTTGACCTGGTTTCTATTAATAGAAATCATTGTCTTGATAAGTGTTTCAAGATTTCACGCAAGTTGTTGAGGCCCAATCTGAAGCTGAATGTCACTGATATTGTCTGACGAAGCTTTAGTGTACTGAATCTATTTACTACACGTATGTGATTTACTCATTCAGTGTATTAAATGATATCTTCTGATACCAGATTATCGCCCCACCTGAGAGGAAGTACTCGGTCTGGATCGGTGGCTCCATCCTGGCCTCCCTCTCCACCTTCCAGCAGATGTGGATCAGCAAACAGGAGTACGACGAGGCCGGCCCTTCCATTGTGCATCGCAAGTGCTTCTAAACAAGGCCCAGACCCACCCACCCACCCCAGCCCAGCCCAGCCCAGCCCAGCCCACTCCCTCCCTCCTGCCCCAAACTCTGCTCTCGTTCTATTGTCTGTAAACTGTGAATGTGTCCCTCATTTAACCTCCTGTGTTTCTGTCTTTGCACTGCCCACCCCTGCGTGAATGTTATGTTATGTTATTGGTTGGGTGTGTTTCTTTGAATGAATAAAGCTTGAATGTGCATCTGGTGTACACCTTTGGGGACATTCCTAGAGGAATGTATCTATGTAGATTCCAGCGGTGGATATTGAAGAAAAAAGAAGCTGGATCTGTTCCACAGAGCTCGCGTTCTCTCTCTTGTGTTCACTTTGTTCAGTACATCATCCCTGGATGTGGCCAAGTCTCGCATGGCTCAGATCACTGCTGAAAGCTTTAATCATCTGACTGTTTGTAAAGATCCATGTGAACATGAATGAACACCCAGGGACGGAATAAAGCTCTCATATAAGGAACTCTGTCTGGCTCATACATTTTATATTACAAGTGTTTATAATATAATTACTATGACTTACTGTTGCATCTAGCCATATTTTCAGCAAGTTAGCGTTTTTTGTCATGAATCTTGTTCTCGAGGCAGCTCTGCAGAGGGGTCACTAGCCGGCACAGCCAGTCATAAAATCTGATTTTAAACCTAACCCTAAGCACACTGCTAACCCTATTGCCTAACCTTAAATGAAGACCAAAAAGCACATTTTTGTTTTCATGAATTTTTACAATATAGCCAATTTTGACTTTGCAGCTGGCCTATCTAAGGGGACATCGTTCAGTTCTGCCTCCAGGACAAGACTCATGACAATAAATGTCAACCTGTGTACTAATATGAGTCTTCCACAAGCAACGTAGGCTACATGGCAACAAGACCATCTGGGGACAAGACCAGAAGAGTCAAATTAATAGTTGTCTCCGATGGGCATTTATGGTGTCTAGTGTTCAGTGGCGATCATGCGATGTCATTGTCAACATATGAATTGGCTTTCAAAGCATAGATGTTATTATAAACTGGGTAGTTCGAGTCCTGAATGCTGATTGGCTGACAGCCGTGGTATACCACGGATATGACAAAACATGTATTTTTATTGCTCTAATTATGTTGGTAACCAGTTTATAATATAAATAAGGCACCTCAGGGTTTGTGGTATATGGCCAATATACCATGGCTAAGGGCTGTATCCAGGCACTCTGCCTTGCGTCGTGAACAGCCCTTAGCCGTGGAATATTGGCCAATATACCGCACCTCCTCTGGCCTATTTGCTTAAATAAACATCAACCTGCACATTTTCCATCATTCTTTTCTGATAGAAGATTATATGCTCCACTACTACCCCACATTCTGGGAAAATTAACTACCACAAATGCCTTTTTTTATCATCATCATGGGGTACCAATTTCCTGGTTCATCCTTTCAGCAGACTGGCTTGTGTAATCTCGAACAACGTAATTACACGGACATCCCACTGGGCACACACTGGATGAATCAACGTTGTTTTCAAGTCATTTCAATGAAATTACATTGAACCAACGTGGAATATACGTTGAATTAACGTCTGTGCCCAGTGGGATACTTCTTGCCCTGGAATGCAGAGGAACTGGATCTCTGGTCCTGTCTTGATAACCTGTTTTCACTCATTCCTTTCCATTGATAACATGGTTCTGTTAATTTGGAGAGGGGAAAGCAGAACAACTACATTTGGAAACACACGCCGCGCAGTTAAACAACAACTCGGAATAGGAGATAAAGCAGTATGCGTTTTATTACCAAAATGACAGTGGAAAAGTGTGGTAGAGTCACTGTAATGACTGGTTGTCTTTCCCATTTCTAAACACATAGCCACTACAACAGAGCATGTTTCTACAGCGCCACTGGGACAGCTAATCACACAGTAGCAACGTTCCAACACCACACTGTACTACTGATGTAAAGTCAAATGAAAGATAAAGCCATTATCAGGACTGCTGTGAGGGGGCATGACTAGGTTTTTTCCCCCCCCCACGCTTCTGCCAAAAGGTTGAAAGAAGGAGAGCTCCATTTTCTACAGGGAGGGGTGCTTAACGGCTTGCCTGGTCCCAGATCTGTTTGTGGTGTTTCAAATGGTCATTGTCAAGCCAAACGATAATGAGAGCACAAACAGGTCTGGGACCAGGCTACTTAAATGCTTCATGGGGGTGGAAAGTGAGCCGATACCTGAGCTCTGTGTAGTGAAGGCCCTTTGGGATGGCAAAAGGCTACTGTTCCTTTAAGGCGTCTTTGCTTACAATTCTCTGAGCACTTTGGTTTGTTCCTCCCCGCACAAGACATGCCACCTCGATGGGCTACTTTTAATAAGAATTCAGTTATGGTTCTTTTCTTTTTTTGGTCAACACTTCAAGATAAATCAAGTCTCACAAATAATGCAAAGATGTCAAGGCTAATATCCAACTGGCCAAAATTCATCATTTTAACAAAGACTAAACAACTTCCTAAACCACAGAGCCATCACAATTAAAATCAGTCAATTTTATATTTAAGAAATCAATTTGTTTTGTTTGTTCGGCAAATCTCTGCATATGTAATCAATTGTGCAAATGCTGTATAATTGTGTCTTACAAGTATTTTCTGTAGTCTCCTGTACCAGGAAAATTCATGGTAAGGATTCCTTCATGGGAGACTATCATTCACATAACACATACACGTGCACTTGCACACACACTTTAGCCAGTTCTCAAACTGAAACACCTCAGGCCATTTACAGCAGGCCTGCATGCTAAAGTAGTTCTCTCTGGAGAATTCCACATCAAATCTGACAAGCAGAACTGGCTCAAAAACTCCACTCAGCCAAACTGACAAGTTAAGCTATCAAAAAACCCATACTTTAGGATAAAGGGTTGATAAAACAACACCATTAGAACAATTCATCACTATGTGTTGCAAAGCAGTTTCAATTGACAGTACCTCATTAAAAAAAATTAAATAAATACAAAAGCTTTCATCGTAAACAAAGATATAAATAGGAGATCCAGTTTGTGATGGGGAGGAGGAGAGTGTCTTGTCTTCCTCCACTCTGTCACCTGAGGTCCAGCACTGTTGTTTTCCAGTCCTTTATAACAACATGCCTACAGATCTGAAAATAGAAAAGAACTCGTTTAACTTCTCAGGTCAACTCACCGCACAAGTGGAGAAGCACAACTAAGAATAGAATGACATGTGAACACACACACACACACACACACACACAAGCTCTATTCGTGCCTGTGCTGAATAAGAGGGAGGCTGCCTCTCTGTCTGCAGGGAGGATGTCTGTGTGTATGACTTACGCTGAAGAGCGGCGGGTCCTTGGAGTGTGGGTGAAAGCCCTTCAGTCTGCAGCCGGCTACCTCCCCCATCCCAGAGCTGGTGAGTCTGAACACCCCCGTACTGCAACACACAGATCACAGACACAGGCCTCGTTCATACAATGCTCTCATGGCCAAAGGAAGTCCGTCTAGTAAAAGTAGATCGTCTTCCAGCTAAGGAACCGTAAAGCCAACATAGGTTAGTCATCTGAGAGCTGAGCTTATGCCCGAGGCTCGTTCAGTGGGGTGGAACATTTAGAGAATCAGATAAAGATGTTAAGTATACAGTCGTGGTCAAAAGTTTGCTGCCTCAGTTTTTATGATGGCAATTTGCATATACTCCAGAACAATAATAATAATAATAATAATAATAATAATAAGCCATTTAGCAGATGCTTTTATCCAAAGCGACTTACAGTCATGTGTGCATACATTTTTACGTATGGGTGGTCCCGGGGATCGAACCCACTACCCTGGCGTTACAAGCACCATGCTCTACCAATTGAGCTACAGAGGACCATGAAGAGTGATCAGATGAATTGCAATTAATTGCAAAGTCCCTCTTTGCCATGAAAATTAACTTAATCCCCAAAAAAACATTTCCACTGCATTTCAGCCCTGCCACAAAAGGACCAGCTGACATCATGTCAGTGATTCTCTCGTTAACATAGGTGAGAGTGTTGACGAGGACAAGGCTGGAGATCACTCTGTCATGCTGATTGAGTTAGAATAACAGCTTTAAAAAGGAGGGTGGTGCTTGAACTAATTGTTCTTCCTCTGTTAACCATGGTTACCTGCAAGGAAACACGTGCCGTCATCATTGCTTTGCACAAAAAGGGCTTCACAGGCAAGGATATTGCTGCTAGTAAGATTGCACCTAAATCAACCATTTATCGGATCATCAAGAACTTCAAGGAGAGAGGTTCAATTGTTGTGAAGAAGGCTTCAGGGCGCCCAAGAAAGTCCAGCAAGCGCCAGGACCGTCTCCTAAAGTTGATTCAGGTGCAGGATCGGGGCACCACCAGTGCTGAGCTTGCTCAGCAGGCAGGTGTGAGTGCATCTGCACGCACAGTGATGCGAAGACTTTTGGAGGATGGCCTGGTGTCAAGAAGGGCAGCGAGGAAGCCACTTCTCTCCAGGAAAAACATCAGGGACAGACTGATATTCTGCAAAAGGTACATGGATTGGACTGCTGAGGACTGGGGTAAAGTCATTTTCTCTGATGAATCCCCTTTCCAATTGTTTGGGGCATCCAGAAAAAAGTTTGTCCGGAGAAGACAAGGTGAGCGCTACCATCAGTCCTGTGTCATGCCAACAGTAAAGCATCCTGAGACCATTCATGTGTGGGGTTACTTCTCAGCCAAGGGAGTGGGCTCACTCACAATTTTGCCTAAGAACACAACCATGAATAAAGAATGGTACCAACACATCCTCCGAGAGCAACTTCTCCCAACCATCCAAGAACAGTTTGGTGACGAACAATGCCTTTTCCAGCATGATGGAGCACCTTGCCATAAGACAAAAGTGATAACTAAGTCGCTCAGGGAACAAAACATCAACATTTTGGGTCCATGGCCAGGAAACTCCCCAGACCTTAATCCCATTGAGAACTTGTGGTCAATCCTCAAGAGGCGGGTGGACAAACAAAAACCAACAAATTCTGACAAACTTATGCAAGAATGGGCTGCCATCAGTCAGGATGTGGCCCAGAAATTAATTGACAGCATGCCAGGGCGGATTGCAGAGGTCTTGAAAAAGAAGGGTCAACACTGCAAATATTGACTCTTTGCATAGACTTAATGTAATTGTCAATAAAAGCCTTTGACACTTATGGAATGCTTGTAATTATACTTCAGTATACCATAGTAACATCTGACAAAAATATCTAAAAACACTGAAGCAGCAAACTTTGTGAAGACCAATACTTGTGTCATTCTCAAAACTTTTGACCACGACTGTAGAACTGACACGACTCATTATTCCATGTCACAGAGAATCATCATGTCGGTTCTACATCACGCATTTCTAACTCCCTATAACATTGCTCCCTACTGAATAAACGATTTGATCAAATCAAATTTTATTTGCCACATGCGCCAAATTCAACAGGTGTAGACATTACCATGAAATGCTTACTTACAGCCCTTAACCAACTATGCATTTATTTATTAATAAAAAAGTAAAATAAAACAAAAAAGTGTTGAGAAAAAAAGAGCAGAAGTAAAATAAAATAACATTAGGGAGGCTATATACAGAGGGGTACCAGTGCAGAGTCAATGTGCGGGGGCACCGGCTAGTTGAGGTAATATGTACATGTGGGTAGAGTTAAAGTGACTATGCATAAATAATTAACAGAGTAGCAGCAGCGTAGAAAGATGGGGTGGGGGTGCAGTGCAAATAGTCAGGGTAGCCATGATTAGCTATTCAGAAGTCTTATGGCTTGGGGGTAGAAGCTGTTGAGAAGCCTTTTGGACCTAGACTTGGCGCTCCGGTACCGCTTGCCGTGTGGTAGCAGAGAGAACAGTCTATGACAATTTTGAGGGCCTTCCTCTGACACCGCCTGCTATAGAGGTCCTGGATGGCAGGAAGCTTGGCCCCAGTGATGTACTGGGCCGTACGCACTACCCTCTGTAGTGCCTTGCGGTCAGATGCCGAGCAGTTGCCATACCAGGCGGTGATGCAACCAGTCAGGATGCTCTCGATGGTGCAGCTGTAGAACTTTGAGGATCTGAGGACCCATGCTAAATCGGCTTTGTTGTGTCCTCTTCACGACTGTCTTGGTGTGTTTGGTCCATGATAGTTTGTTGGTGATGTGGACACCAAGGAACTTGAAGCTCTCAATCTGTTCCACTACAGCCCTGTCGATGAGAATGGGGGCGTGCTCAGTCCTCTTTTTTTTTCTCCTGTAGTCCACAATCATCTCCTTTGTCTTTGTCACGTTGAGGGAGAGGTTGTTATCCTGGCACCACACGGCCAGGTCTCTGACCTCCTCCCTATAGGCTGTCTCATCATTGTCGGTGATCAGGCCTACCACTGTTGTGTCGTCGGCAAACTTAATGATGGTATTGGAGTCGTGCCTGGCCATGCAGTCATGGGTGAACAGGGAGTACAGGAGGGGACTGAGCACGCACCCCTGAGGGGCCCCCGTGTTGAGGATCAGCGTGGCAGATGTGTTGTTACCTACCCTTACCACCTGGGGGCGGCCCGTCAGGAAGTCCAGGATCCAGTTGCAGAGGGAGGTGTTTAGTCCCAGGATCCTTAACTTAGTGATGAGCTTTGAGGGCACTATGGTATTGAACTCTGAGCTGTAGTCAATGAATATCATTCTCACGTAGGTGTTCCTCTTGTCCAGGTGGGAAAGGGCAGTGTGGAGTGCAATAGAGATTGCATAATCTCTGGATCTGTTGGGGCAGTATGCACATTGGAGTGGGTCTAGGGTTTCTGGGATAATGCTGTTGATGTGAGCCATGACCAGCCTTTCAAAGCACTTCATGGCTACAGACGTCAGTGCTACGGGTCGGTAATCATTTAGGCAGGTTATCTTAGTGTCCTTGGGCACGGGGACTATGGTGGTCTGCTTGAAACATGTTGGTATTACAGACTCAGTCAGGGACATGTTGAAAATGTCGGTGAAGACACTTGCCAGTTGGTCAGCACATGCTCGGAATACACGTCCTGGTAATCCGTCTGGCCCTGCGGCCTTGTGAATGTTGACCTGCTTAAAAGCCTTACTCACATCGGCTACGGAGAGCGTGATCACAGTCATCCGGAACAGCTGGTGCTCTCATGCATGCTTCAGTGTTGCTTGCCTCGAAGCGAGCATAGAAGTGGTTTAGCTCATCTGGTAGGCTTGTGTCACTGGGCAGCTCGCAGCTGTGCTTCCCTTTGTAGTCTGTAATAGTTTTCAAGCCCTGCCACATCCAACGAGCGTCAGAGCAGGTGTAGTACGATTCAATCTTAGTCCTGTATTGACTCTTTGCCTGTTTAATGGTTCGTCGGAGGGCATAGCGGGATTTCTTATAAGCATCCGGGTTAGAGTCCCGCTCCTTGAAAGCGACAGCTCTACCCTTTAGCTCAGTGCGGATGTTGCCTGTAATCCATGGCTTCTGGTTGGCGTATGTACGTACGGTCACTGTGGGGACGACGTCATCGATGCACTTATTGATGAAGCCAGTGACGTGGTGTACTCCTCAATGCTATCTGAAGAATCCCGGAACATGTTCCAGTCTGTGCTAGCAAAACAGTCCTGTAGCATAGCATCTGCGTCATCTGACCACTTTTTTATTAACCGAGTCACTGGTGCTTCCTGCTTTAGTTTTTGCTTATAAGCAGGAATCAGGAGGATAGAGTTATGGTCAGATTTGCCAAATGGAGGGCGAGGGAGAGCTTTGTATGCGTCTCTGTGTGTGGAGTAAAGGTGGTCTAGAGTTTTTTTTTCTTCCTCTGGTTGCACATTTAACACGCAGGTAGAAATTAGGTAGAACAGATTTGAGTTTCCCTGCATTAAAGTCCCCGGCCACTAGGAGTGCTGCCTCTGGATGAGCGTTTTCCTGTTTAGTTATGGCCTTATACAGCTCATTGAGTGCAATCTTAATGCCAGCATTGGTTTGTGGTGGTAAATAGACAGCTATGAAAAATATAAATGAAAACTCTCTTGGTAAATAGTGTGGTCTACAGCTTATCATAAGATACTCTATCTCAGGCGAGCAAAACCTCGAGACTTCCTTAGTATTTGATTTTGTACACCAGCTGTTGTTTACAAATATACATAGACCGCCACCCCTTGTCTTACCGGAGTCAGCCGTTCTATCCTGCCAATGTAGCGTATAGCCCGCTAGCTGTATGTTGTCCATGTCGTCGTTCAGCCACAACGCGGTGAAACATAAGATATTACAGTTTTTAATGTCCCGTTGGTAGGATAACCGTACTCTTAGGTCATCTAATTTATTTTCCAATGATTGAAGATTGATGGAAGAGGCAGTTTACTCGCTCGCCGTCGGATCCTTACGAGGCACCCCGACCTACGTCCACGATATCTCCGTCTCTTTCTCCTGCGAATGACGGGGATTTGGGCCTTGTCGGGTGTCTGTAGGATATCCTTTGCGTCCGACTCTTTGAAGAACAAATCTTCGTCCAATACGAGGTGAGTAATCGCTGTTCTGATATTCAGAAGCTCTTTTTGGTTGTAAGAGACGATGGCAGAAACATTATGTACAGAATAAATTACAAATAACGTGAAAAAACACACATAATAGTACAATTGGTTAGAGGGCTGTAAAACGGCAGCCATCTTCTCCGGCGCCATTGAGTCAATACCGCCCACATTGCATATCTTAGTGGATTGGTTTTCTTTGGCGTTAGCATCAGTAGGCCTACTCATTCTAGCGGACAGGGACAGAGACTCACTCGTTGTGTTTGGGCGAGCAGACGATGGCGATGGCTTCAGGCAGCATGAGCTGGTAGGAGCCGTGTGTATGCAGGTCTACACTGGACAGGAAGGCCGTCTGGGTGGGGTGGGTCTAAGGGCAGAGGAGAGGAGAGCAACAGGCAGAGGAGATAATGGAAAAAATGTCATTTTCTGTTAGGTGAATTATATTTGATATTTACAGAATAGGTTTATTTCCCATAAATCGGTGGAACTACAGATGTAGGATCTTAATTTGATCACTCTTGTTGCTGCACAGCAGGAAATGCAAACTTGTAGTGTATTTGAGTTTTAAAAAGACTTCTAAAGTTTGTAATTTCTACTTAATTTGCCATAACGAAAAATGTATCAACCCTGCAAACATTTTCATTAATTATTATCCACATAATTATTCACATTTCCGGTTGTTGCAGGATTATTTTCCTGCTGTAGCAAACTGCCTCAAATTAAGATCCTACATTTGTACATTTCACTGTGTCCCTCCCCTGTACAACTCCCATGTTAGGGGATGCAAACCATAAAACCAAGGTTTACATTAAAGAGGTACAGAATCTAGTGCATTCTCTGAAGGTGACTGGCAGGGCTATGAATAACTGTGACATCTGAACCAGAGGGCCTGGTTTCTATGGTGATATTATCCAAATAAAAGATCAGCCTCTGCTAATCTCCACCCGGCACAGACAGAAGAGGACTGGCCACCCCTCAAAGCCTGGTTCCTCTCTAGGTTTCTTCCTAGGTTCCTGCCTTTCTAATGAGTTTTTCCTAGCCAGTGTGCCTCTACATCTGTATTGCTTGCGCTCTGGTGTTTTAGGTTCGGTTTCTGTATAAGCACTTTGTGACAACTGCTGTTGTAAAAAGGCCTCTATAAATAAATGTGATTGATTGAATGGTTGCTTTCAGGCTGAATGGACAGCGCATTACCTTAATTTGTGTGTAGGCGTTTGTGTGTGCATGGGTGTGTGTAATGTACACTCACATGGATCCAGCCCAGAGTCAGCAGATTGTGGTGATCCTGGAAACTGAAGAGCTCCTCTACGTTCTCCATATCACAGTAGTCTGGGCCGGCTGACTGCTTGGGAACCACCAAATGGGTCAGCAGGAACTCATTTTGAGTCTGGAAGAGACGAAAGGTAACACTTCCTATGAATACCTTCATACGGCATTAGAAGTGTGTTTATAACAGCGTATGAGCTAATTCATTACAATGCACAACAGTTGCTAATAACTGCTCATAAGTCTGGTGGCACTGAAGTACTGTTATTGCTATTTTGCAGGATTTGGCACACCCACCTACACACAGCAATCTGAAGCAAATAATGTAGGAAGTACAATCGACTTCAAATACTAGTCTTGAACTTTGAACACCTTACATTGGCAACCTCCCTCTCTCCTCCTTCACAGAACTATTGTTTGCAGATGGCACGAGTACAAATGGTGACTCCTGTTGTACGCTTAGACACAGTAATCAGTAAGCTGGGATGTTTCACTTTCCCCAATAAACTGGCAGTTTGTCTATAAATAAAATGGATAAATGTTTGCATACAGTAGATTTGAGCATGTCTTACCAGTTTTCCACAGAGGACCCCACACGTCTCTATACCCCTGGCTGTGTTGCTGTCGGCTAGCAGCAAGAACTTGTAGGTCAGGTCTCTAGGAATGACGACCCGCCTCAGGCCCTCAACCCGTTGAGCTGTACAGATGTGCACACACACAATAACAGGATGTCAAACAGCGTGACTCATGCAGCACATATACAGACTACAAATACATCAACAGTTAATATACTAGCCAGCTTAAATATACACAGTAACTATTAATGTAACTCATTATTGACTTCCCCATATTACCTAACTAATGGATTGTTTGAGTAACAATCATTCAATCTAAAATATAGAACCTAGATGTTAAATTCTAATGGAAACAGGACACTCACTATGTACGCCAGCCAGTGTAGCTGCTGGCTTGCTGCCGGAGAGAGGAGGTTGATTGCGGTTTGGGTCGAGACTAACATAGTTCTTGGAGGAGTGGGACAGACAGGACCCGTCCGTTTGTTCAGGCACTTTAGCGACCACCTCGTCTCTGCGATTGGCCAGCTCCTGCCTGCGCAGTTGGTCCTCGAAGTAGCGGAACTGCTCCGACTCGATCTGCATCCTGCGCAGCTGCTCCACCCTCTGCTTCTCCTGCTCTACTAGAGACGTCCTCTGCAGCTGCTGGCTGCAGCCATCAGCCACCACCGCCTGGCTCTGCGCGCACACACACACACACACACACACACACACACACACACGAGTGCACGCATGAACACGCATGTGCACACAGATCTGTGCCATTTCAATGTTAGTCCCATTTGTTGATATACATGATCTTACTCCGAAACACTTCTCATCACTACTTACCATAAACTACAACGTGCTGCATGGAAGTATTCCCATTCGTCAAAAAGTGATCCAAATACCACACTGTATCCAACTAATATGAACAGGTGCTGCACACTAGCACAAATAGGGCTTCCAGCCAGCCTCCTAAATAATCTGTCTGAATGTAATGAAAGGTTTGGGTGTTAAACCTTACCTGACTCATAAGATACTCTGCATGTTCCTTGTTGAACTTCTCATGGAGGAGCTTCTTCAACTGATCTTTCCGCGGAAATGCGACATCTTGCAATTTCTGAGAATAAGATCCAACAGATAACGGGACAAGGACATCTGTGTGAGTGCAGGCAGGGAAACACTTCCTTTCGTTAGCAGTGGTAATTTGCAGCTTAAACGGTAAGTCCGAGAGGGCTGAATCACTACTTTAAGACATTCATCTACCATTTCAAAGCTCTTAATAGATTTTAGTGTCGCTTCTATTGTCCGTCACCAGAAGGTAATCTACAACCTTTTCTAGACTGGTGCTGTCCCTGAGCTGACCTTGCTATCTCTTACTGTAAACATACCTCACTTAAATCAAAGCAGACCTGAATCCACCCACTAAGTAGCCTACCACTCAGGCAGACAGACAGGGCCCTCGTACCACCCCTCTCTCTTTCCCTCCACCCCTCTCTCTATCCCTCCACCCCTCTCTCTATCCCTCCACCCCTCTCTCCACTTCAATGAGCTCTCTGCAGGGCTGAGCACCACGGGGGTCCCCCAACACAGCATGCCAAGGGTTTACCTTCATTATCACCTGCTTCTCTGGTACGCTGCACTCCCGGTAGTCTGGATGGCTGGGGAGTTTCTCTACAAACAGACTGACACAACAGAGAGGTGGTAAGACAGATTATAGTTTATGAAGACTCCACCTCCTCCTGTAGCCTAGTCACTTTACCCCTGCCTACTATCTACATATCTTCCACAATGACCTCGTACCCCCGCAGTGATATGGTACTGATACAGCCTGTATTTAGCTTCATCCTTGTGTATTTCATTCCTTTTGTGTTACCGTTATTATTATTTTTTATATAATACTCTGCATCGTTGGGAAAGGGCTCATAAGTAAGCATTTCACAGTAAAGTCTACACCGGTTGTATTCGGCGCATGTGACAAATACATTTTTATTTCTATGAATCATCAGTCAAGTACTTGACCTGCCATTAGTACATTGGACATAGCCCAAAGGAATGTTAATATTACTCTATCACTGGCCCTAGTCTAGTCTGCCACAGTTGTCAATTCAACGTCTATTCCACGTTGGTTCAATGCAATTTCATTGAAATGACGTGGAAACAACGTTGATTCAACCCGTGTGTGCCCAGTGGGTACGCTCTCTCCTCACGTGATGAACTTGTTGTAGAGGACGTAGGCGTTCTCCAGGCTGCCCTCCTCCAGGTACACGGCGGCCATACGCTCCATCTCGACGCCGGAGCGGAAGTAGCGGTGTGGCGTGATCTCCTCGTTGATCTCCACGCTGCAGCCCATCTTGCCGAGGGCCCGCACGCGCTCCGCCGCCGTCAAGCTCACGTCGGTGTGGTCCGGCTCGGCCGCCAGCTTCTTCTGTTGGGGGGTCAAAGGTCGCCAGGGTCAGAGTTCAAAGTGTAACCACCACGGGCAGAACAGTCACAGAGGTCAATTTAGGAGTCAATGTAACCACAAGCACCGGCGTATAGAAGAATATAGTAGATGTCCTAGTGGTAGTTTTGCATTTTCCCTTCCAATGGATAAGGTTAGGATTTGACTAAGCATGGACAGGATAGCCCTATCAGCACCTGCACACCTCTTTCTACACCTCAGAGCTCAAAACAACACATTCATCACTAACACTGCATCAGTACCAGTGTCTACATCAGCAGAAAAACCCTAAGGCCAACAGCCTGACACAGCAACACTATCACCCCTAGCAGCAGTACCGCTGTAGCGTCAACTGAAATACCAACGGCTAGGATCAGCATGAGCCGTCTCCCTCAGCAGCCTCCCAGCCCTCTCCAGGCGGTCATGTGACCAGAAAACATCAGCACCGTCATCCCTCACTGGGCCAGGGCGGCCAAAGCAGGCGGAGGATGGGAGGGGCGGAGGATGGGGGGGGGGGGGGCTGATCGGAAGCTTTCATAGGTAGACCGGCCGGCACTATGCTAGTACACACCAGCCTGAGCAGCCCTGCTCTGCACCACACTAATGAAAACAGCACAGTAAACACAGGGCCCTGCTGCCTCAGTGTTCCTTTGAGGTTACTATTGACGTGGGCGTCTTCTCAAGATTCTACTGGACTCTACATGGGGTAGAGACGAACACTGCAGACAGCGCCATTGCGCGCTGGACATAACGGGTAAAAGATAACGGGAGAAATTATTGTAGTCTCGATGAAGGATCAGATTAAGACAATCCTTTCGGCAGTGAGAGTTAAAGCAGGCAGGAGCTTTCTCTCTTTGGAGGGCTCGATGATAGCATCTCCTTTGTCTAACCATCTATTCATGAGCAGAGGAAGTGTAAAGAGGCTAACAGCCGCTAACATCCGCTCCATCCCTTTCTCCCACCCTAGGATGGAGGGATGGCCCTGAATGGAGAGATGAGTCTGACAGAGCAGCTGAATACTAATGGGAGTGAGTCAGGGGAAACCGTTGGCGTGGATCCCCAGCCCACTAACCCATTCCTACTCCCCCCACTCTACAAAATAAATCAATTCAGCCCACCCACACCCTCATCACCCCCTTCTACACAGAGGACAACCATTCCCTCCAGCTTTCCACCCACCTTCCTATACTCACCTTGATTCCTACAATTTCTAAAGACAAGTGAACTCAAGCCCCTCAACCTTACTCACCTCCCACCTATCCCACCTCTCCCCACTTCACCCCAGTCACCTATCCCACTCCACACACAGCCCATCTCTCCCCACTTCACCTCTCAAGTTGTGCGCACACTACGTTCGGTTTGCTCCTAGCAGAACTGGGCTAGGTGAAGTGAACGTCTGTGCATCGCATACTCCCATAAAAGAGCTTCGCTTGAAAAATGAGAAAAAAGCGGCAATAGTACCGTTTGTCCCTCGAGACGCCGTAGCCAGTAAACACTTCCTCAAAATAGTCAGAATTAATCTAAGATGAACTCAAGAAACCTGTAATTGATTGACGTTCTTTCCGAGAAGGTTTTAGTCATTTTATATTAAGATGTTTGGTGCAGTATTTCAATGGAAAAAATGTGCATGAAAGCGGGTCATCTCTCATTGAATGACAACAAACACTTAATTGAAGAATCCCTACTGTTGACCAATCACCACACTTAAGATTGCCTCAAGAAAAAAAATGTGTGAGCATGAACAGCCAAAGCGAACAAAAACATCACAAAATGTAGTCAGAAAATATGCACAAATTGTTTATGATGGGAAGCAAATGGATGCCTTTACCCCTGACTAACAAGACTCACCAGTGTGCTGAAGCTGAAGCCTTGCTCCATGGTGTCTTTAGACTGCAGGCTCACAGGCTCCAATCTTCCCAATGTGTCCACCTGTCATCTCCCAAGATGAAAGCCCACTGGAGAGGAGAGGAGAGAAATCTTAGCTCGGATAATGGCCATGACTCTGTTGTGTAATGATGGCCATTGGGTCGATAAGGTTCCCTCTCACTGAGAGATTGAGACATGAATAATGTTGTCCAGAGACAGCTTACCCTTGGTAGTAGTCATATATATTGATCAAGCTCTTGACTTAGAACTTGACTTGCATTACAGTACGTAGTATTTTTAGCCAACAAGGATTTATGTTGTTTCATAGCAAGTCTCCAAAAGCAGCCGCTCAAATTCTTACAGGTTCTCCAAAATAGCTAAACATGCTTTAACGGCACACTGTTCCTATGGCAGCTTGTAACCAAAGAGCAAAATAGGGTGATTCATGGACATATTCTGCTGAGATGAAATCCTTTATCTCGTACTAAGATTGGTCAATGAGCAGATTTCAGCAGTGCCTTTAACCCTCCAGAGTCCCTCTACTCTTCAACCCCAAAACTACTATTTGAACTACTACTGCAACTGAATTGAAAGCAAGATGTTGCAATACATTCAATCCCTTTCCATTTGTCAGTGATATTCTGGTTGATGCTGCCATGGAAACCCATCATGTGCAGTACACAATAGGAGCATGTGAAATCTAGGTGTAATTAACACTGCCCAAGGCTGACTAATGTAAAAAAGACTTCAAGTCAGTTCCTGTAAAATTAGTATATTTCTGCAGATAATAAGTGTATTTAATAATACAAAAATTCAATTAGAATTCATTTTCACTCCAGCAAAGAAATGTGAAAAGAAATGGTAAACAAGTCATTTATAATCCAAAGTGTGCCCCAAATAGAAACATTGACCTCTGTAGTGAAATTAAACTGTTTAGTTGAGGTCCAGACTCCAGAGAAATCTGGCTGGTCTGAGCACAATCTCTCTTGTATACTTTTAGTCCCTTTGTCTCTCCTGTCATCAGCATTCATCATTCATGTGTGGAGTGTTTGCCAAGCTTTGGAGTCCTACTTTCTCTGCAAGAAGCAGTAATGAATGTTCATGCAGAACATTCACTGATTCAAATATAATTTTTACCAAATAGAATTACAGGAGACTTGGCAGGCGTCACTAGCAGATAGGGTTGAATATTTTTCTCAGTATTTTACAAAATGGATAATTCCAGTCCATATATTACAGTATAATACAATACAGTACAGTAATACAGTTCACATTCAAAAAAGATTAGCCTACTGGAGCTAGTTTCATTGATTTACCCCAGAGAGCATATAAAGCATATACTGTAAATAGGCCTATGTCTGGATTAGATTAGAGCGTTGATCGAAAATTCAAGCCTGATGCTACTTGAGCCGGATGAGCCATACATTAAATACATTTGATGAGCCCTACATTAAAGACATGTTATGAGCCCAAGCAAGCCCAAATGATTGTGCCGTTATCCAATGCATATGATATATGCTACTACACATTATGCACGACAGCAAAACATATACGCCCATAGATGTAGCTAGCTATATGCTCTCCTGGGTAAATAAATGAAACTAGCTCCAGTAGGCTAATCTTTTTGAATGTGAACTGTAGTACTGTATTGTATTATATGGACTGGAATTACGCACATCGTTCAAACCATGATGAAGCAGAAGAGAACATGCGATTCTGGTGCAGCACATGTGGCCTACAAACTTACAAATATAGGCTAGCAAATTTGATTTTAATTTTGAAATATAATAGGGTCTATTTGTAGAATTAGTAGGCTGACAAATATATACCTTTCATAATATTTCCCCTAATGTTATTAGCCTAGTAGGCTCTTTCTCTATTGTTGCTTCATTCCTTCCTCGCGTTCAACAGTTAAATGAAATAAGTTTCGTTGTCCTTATCTTCATCATTCTAATGTCAGCCTTGAATATTATAGGACTAGAATTAGATGCAGAAGGCTTTCACTTCACAAAGATTGAATGGTTTTGGTCTGAATAAATACCTTCTATAGCCTACAGCCATCGCGCGTTTGCTTTTCTTTCAAACTACCCATGATTTCTATTGGCTGCTTTATTTAACATTCAGCAAACAAGAGCTTGCGTACCTCTCTGAATAGTCTATTGGTATAAGAAATGCTAAAAAAATGTCCAGCAAGCTATTCTAGTCTTTCTTGCATGGGACTCCAAGAGTGAAGGAGCGTTTTTTTAAGGAGAGGCCAGCAGAGCACATTTGTGTGTATTGCGCAAGAGACAGAGGCTATAACTTAGAAGCTTATTATGCATAACCCCAGTGGCGTGTATTCATGGATGCCAAGGGAAGCCAGGCTTCACCAAAATATCGGCACTTTTTTAAATTAATTTTTTTACATTAAATAAATTATCTTTCGTCTCTCTGTTTCATAACTTTCCTTCAATTCACAAGAGGCTGAATGTATCTCACAGGAGAAAGCATTCGAGCGAGAGAAACAGTGCCCCTCTGTCTCTCTACGTGTAGGCCATCTATCTGACGCCGTCTGATCAAAACGAGCATGACATCGTTGCCGCCCGTAGCATTGAAGGCATCTGGCCTCCCTTGACAAAAAAAGTACAAAAAAATTGCCAATCAGCGTTGAACTGAACTGAGTGAGCTGAGCTGTGAATGGTCCTGGCGCACCCAAACAAGGTGTCAAGGGAAGCCAGCTTGGATTTGGAGTCACTCCTATCAAAACCCATTGAGAGCACACATCATTGACAGAAAAACTTGAATTGTTGCATCTCATTGTGTTGTTGTCCTCCAGTGGCTAGCTAGCCAGCTAGCTAAAATTGGCCCTTTCCTAAATTAGCCATGGATGGAGATAGGGATTTGGACTTGTGGTTTTACTTAATCCTCTGTACTGGCCAATGATTATAACAGCGATTCTGATCCAACCATGAATTCATACATTGTTGTGCCCCTGGCCTGAGAGGATGGAAGTTCAATATGTAGCGAGACGTGGAAGGCTAATGTTAACTAGCTAACATTGCCCATGAAGTTAGGCTAGCGATCAAGCATTTTAGCCAGGTAGCCTAGGACAACAAAAAATAAAAGCGTGTACTGTATGA